TCGCCACGGAGGCCGTGGGCAGCAGGACCACCCGCATCCTCTGTGGCGAGCAAAGCCTGGTCTGCTGGGGGGAGGGGGTGCGCAGCTGGCTGCCCCCCACTCACCCCCCCCCTCCCAGCAGACCAGGGAGATGCAGAGCAGCTTTTCTCGCCACGGAGGACGCGGGCGGTGGGAACTGCTGCAGCTCTGGGCGTTCCCGCCGCCCCCGTCCTCCACGGCGAGAAAAGCCCTGTTCGTATGTTGGGATCCGACATAAGTCGGATCCACGTAACTCAGAGAACTGCCTGTATACTAGTCTCTTAAGAACTGGATTTTCAAAAGTGTTTGGATCATAAGCCCCAGTGAATTTCAATAGAGCCTGTGCACCGGTGGGAACTGCTGCAGCTCTGGGCGTTCCCGCCGCCCCCGTCCTCCACGGCGAGAAAAGCCCTGTTCGTATGTTGGGATCCGACATAAGTCGGATCCACGTAACTCAGAGAACTGCCTGTATACTAGTCTCTTAAGAACTGGATTTTCAAAAGTGTTTGGATCATAAGCCCCAGTGAATTTCAATAGAGCCTGTGCACCTAAATCATCCCACTCAAATTTTTATCATTCTTTCTGCTCCCAGAACTCAAATCATCATCATCCCTAGTTGTAGTATATCACTTTCCATCAATAAATCTCAATGCGCTTTATAAAGGAAGATAGTATCATTAGACCCCTTTTACAGATGGGGAAACTGAGGCAAAGAGGGAGGAATGTCACTCAGTATCAGAGGCAGAAAAAGAACTCAGGTCTCCTGAGTTGCAGTTCAGGGCTCTATCCTCTAGGCAACACTACCTCCAAAGCCCTGGTCAGATGACTGAGCCTCACAAAACACCCTTGGCAAGGATGGTAAATGTCCCAATTTCACAGCGGGAGGAAATGTAGTACAGAAAAACTGTTTTCCCCTATCAGTCTTGTTCTTTAGCCACCAAATCCCCAGCTCTCGTTTTCAAAAAGGCAGATCTGCACAAACTATTAGTGGCTTATCTGAACTGATAAATGTGGATAGGAACTGTTCCTACCAGCAGGCAAAAGTGCTAGCTCTTCAGATCACTGCAAAAACTCTAAACATGTTTAAAACAAAAGGTAGATACTGAATAGCTTTAATGTGATTTAAGTTGGAAGTAACTTGTTCTGAATAAAAATATATATATGTACATGCCCCAGTACAAAAGAGATGTTATATCATTTCTATCACTACATTATCCCTCCTCACAGCACACTTATGGGCTGATCCGCCATACTTTACACTGGATAAGTTAGAGGTGAATTTGGCTCCATTATTCTAAAGCTGTGTGCGCACACGCATCTGTTAACAAAAAAAAGACCATAGTACTTACATTACTGTAAATATTTTTCTGGAACATAGGTCCAGTGCCACTTTCCACATTCCAAAATCGTATGGTGTTATCTGATGAACAAGTCAGAAAAGATCCTGGAGGTAAACAAGATCTGTGATCCTCAAACTCAGGATAAACCTACATATTTCCACAACATAAAAGAGGGAGGCGGGGGGGAAGCAATGGAGAGGTACAAATTAGTTATATTTTAAAATATAAGTGGCAGTCCAGAAACCTAAGTGACAGCAAAAGTTTGTTCTACAAGATCCCTCTCCAATTATCCTCTTACAATTTGAGAGATTTTTCTCCCCATCCCATGCCTTTTAGTAGGTGGTGCTGACAAATATATGGAAGTCTTTGTTCAGATGAGGAGGTGGATTTTTGTTTTGTTTTTATTTATATACCTTAACTCAGGCAAAGGGGTTCTATTATTTATTTAGTGTGTCTAGAGGTCACAGGTACACTAGAAGAAATAAAACAGTCTCACTATAAGAACAGCTTTCACTTTAAGGCAGGTCTGGTAAAAATAACCTCCATGGGCCAGATCCAGCCCGCCAAGCTGCCAGATCCGGCCAATGGACCCAGCGGGGAGTCCACGGACCCAGCGGGGAATCTCAGGCAGATTCCCTGCCCGCCCCTCCTCCCCCTGTATGCTGGTGAGAGAAGCTGCTGTTGGATTCTGTTTGAACAGCTATGAGCCTTCACACACTGCTCCTGCCCGGAGCACAATCCCATTAGCTGGTTTTGGCCAAGGAGAGCTGCCTGTTAACAGGCATCTTAGGACGCACCCTTCCCACCCCCTCAGGCTGGTAGCTGTTAAAAAGCCACATGGCCTTTGCAACCAGTGCGGGCTGGAGCAGGCAGGGAGTATGCTTGGGAAGGCTGCTGGCTGGGAGTCAAGCAGGTAAGTCTCCCAGCCAGATTCTGCCTCTGGCAACCCAACCCTTTTCCCTCCTACCCCAAATAACCCAAACCCTCTGCCCCCATATCCCCACCCAGATCCCTGCCCCAGGTCACAACCAAAACCCCATGCACACCCCCCTGCACTCCAGGTCACAGCCCAAACCTCTGCACCTTAGTCCCTAACCCAGGTCACAATTACCTCCTTCTCCCAAACTCCCTCCCAGAGCCCACGCCCTCTCCTGCACCCCAATCCCTTACTGCAAGCTCATTTCTGCACCCAGCCTCCATCCCAGACCCCACACCTCCTCTATTATATGGAAGAATACGGCCCTTTACCACTGTTCCCTCTAAGTCAGAGGCTCCGGGCTCCATGTGTGCACAGAGCTGACTGACTGGGCAGGGCCGATTATTCACTTGTGAAGCTGTGCTGCCGTGCAGTTTAAGAGGCAACAATGCCCTTGACCACTTTCCAAATTCTTGGAGTGGCGCCCCCATCAAAAATTATTGCCCACCCCTGCTCGACTAGGAGTTTAGGTCAAATTTAACCACATAAGGTTGATTTTCCAAACAACGAGTCCACACTACCAAGCCCGTTCCATCAATCATAGGGGCTGCAAAAGTCTATTTTGGTACTCTTGCTTTTCATGGTCGACTTTACGGAAGCATAGATGCAGCATTGCAAAAGTTGATGTTATTGGCCTCCCAGGAGGCATTCCACAGTGTATCACTGCGACTGCTCTGGCCAAGACTTGCAACTCTACTGCTCTCCAGGTAAACAGGAAAATCCCCAGGAAACTTTGAACATTTCCTGTGTGGACAAAGTGGACTGCATGCTTCAGAGCCACGAGTTCTGTGAGCTCCAGCAGTTCCAGTTCCCAGTTCCAGACCTCACTGATGCATGGGAAGAGGAATCCGTCCTCGTGGCACTCCAAACTAGCAAACAAAATGCAGACATCTATGCAAAGATCACAAGGCCCATGGTGGAGAAAGGATATACCCTGGATGTCCAGCAGCACTACGTGAAGACAAAGGAGCTGAGGCAGCCCTACCAAAAGACAAAGGAGGCAAACTGATGGTCTGGAGCATCACCACAAGTTTCCCAAGCAAACTGTGGAATCCTCCCAGGAGAGTGTGCTGCTGGAGGAGGAGGAGGAGGCGGCAGCGGCGGAGAATGGTCAGCAGGTGAGTGGGGCAACCGATGTGACTAAGAGCCAAAAACTTTATATAACTTTAGAGACAATTCCCTCTGCCCAGGATGTCTCACAGGGATTGTGTACCTGCCACTAAACCACGTGAGTCCAGATGCTCCCCAGAGAACTTTGCTGCGTACCTGCTTTACAGTGGCCGCTTTAAAGCATAAAACTGAGGCCTTGCACAGAACACATCTCCATGGTCTTTAGAGAGACCTTTCACTGTATGTTAATAGATTAGGTTTTAGGCTCCACAACGTATCTCCTGCGATGTGTGTGTTTAACTTTTTGTTACAAGCAAGGAACGTGCTGTGTACTTCCCTGGCTCCACCAGCTGTCTGCCTTGCACAAATCTGAAGGTGAAAACTGACCAGAGAAGATACGCTCAAGGAACAAATGCAATCTGCTCACTTGGACAGGGAGTGCGTAACCGAGGAGAGGAATACAATATGGGAGAAGATGCAAGTGGAGCATCAAGAAAGGACAGCGTGCAGGGAACTGCAAGTGAAGCACCAGGAGAACGTCTTGTCATCCGTGACATCTATGATGGACTGTGTGGTGGCTTTCCAAGATGCATAGCTGGACAGGCCCCTCCCCACCCTTTGCAGATCAACTTTCCCTCCTCTCTCAGTTCCTTGGGGAGGAGACATGGGAGATGGGGGAAGGCGTGGAAGGGTAACTCAAGGACAGCCTCACAACCTCACTCAACCTCCTGGGTGTCACAAAGCAAAAGCTGTCCTCACATTTCTGATCCCCCACCCCCAAGGGTGCCACCAAGCCTTCCTTTTCTGTCCCTTCTACATTCCTTACATAAAAATGCATGATTTCAGAACACTCTATTCCTTGTGTTGCAGCAGCGGGGGGCGGGGGGAAATGTTACAGGCTGACACACTGAATGCAGGGGCACCTCACTGCGAGCAGCATAAAACTTTGTCAAGGCCTCTCTGATTTCCAGTGCCCCATGCTATGCTCCCCTTACTACCCTGGTGTCTGGCTGCTCAAAATCTCTGGCTAGACACTGCCTCCGCCCCCAACCCTGTCAGATAACCTTCCCCCTTGCTCTCACAAATATTATAGAGCACACAGCAGGCTGCCACCACAAAGGAAATGTTGCATTCGCCGAGGTCTTTCCTTGTCTTCCCTTCCTTTTAAACATCCAAAAGCACATTCCACCTCCATTCTGCACTTGCTCAGCCGGTACTTGAATTGTTCCTTACTGCAGTCCAGGGTGCCCTCGTATGGCTTCACGAGCCACAGGAGCAAGGGGTAGGCTGGGTTGCCAAGGATCACTATTGGCATTTCCAGCTCTCCAATTCCAATTTTCCAGTCTGGGAAAAAAGTGCCAGTTTGCAGCTTTCCTAAAGATGTGAGCATCATGCACCTTTCCCGACCATCCCATGTCTAGGTTGGTGAAATGACTCTTGGTGCAGCAGGCGCTGATGGATTACATCAAGAAGTTCCCCTTGCAGTTTATGTACTCCTTGCCAGGTGGTTGGGTGTCAAGATGGGGATGTGTGTTCCGTCTATCACCCTACTGCGGTTAGGGAACCCCATCGCAGCAAAGCCCTCTTCTATGGCAGCCATATTTCCCAGAGTCACTACCCTCTGTAGCAGAATGGTAGTGATTGCTCTGGCTACACAACTATAACAGCAGCTCCCACTGTAGATTTCCCCACTCCGACTTGATTCCCAACTGACTGGTAGCTTTCTGGCATTGCAAGCTTCCACAGGGCAATTGCCAAGTGCTTCTCCAACATCAGAGCAGGTCTCATTCAGGTGTTCCTGTGCTTCAGGGCAGGGGAAAGCAATTTGCAAAGTTCCATGAAAGTGGCTTTGCACATTCAGGAGTTTTGCAGCCACTGTTGATTGTCCCAGGCCTGCAACACTATGCAGTCTCACCAGTCTGCGCTTGTCTCACGGCACCAGAACTGGAGTTCCACTGTTTCCAGAGGACTGAATGCCAACAGCGTTTCCAATTCGCTTAAATCGAAGGCTTGCATAAACAGAGTGTCCATGGCTTTCTGAGATTCACCCTCTTGATGGAGTGCCATACGTATGCTCTAAGCATAATCCACCAATAGGCACAACAAGATACACATCATCTTCACAATGCTTTGATGCACAACAGGATCCCCGAGAGGGTCCATGCTTGCACTGCTATGGCATCTGCTCAGGTAACCAGAGCCAAAAAGACTGCTTTCCCATTGATCTCAAGCCAGGGGGGAGGGAGTAGACGAGCACATTATGGAACTGTCTCCCTACTGAGGATGCGCTACTTTGAATTAAATTGAATTCTTGTGCAGTGGAGACATGGATCTTCGAATTTACCAAATACGGTGGTAAGAAATCAACCTTAATAAATTTGAGCCTCTCTCATAGTTTAGACAAGGTCTAAGTATAAGATCACAGCAGGTGGATACAACAGACAGGAAACACAATGGAACAGTTATAAGTGTAATAGACAAGAGTCATTGTAACTAGCCATTTCACCATCCCTCATCACTGCCCTTTCAAAAAGCTCCCCCTTCATCAAATTCCTTGTCATGGCCCCAGGTAGGCCATGTATCAATTCCTCATCTGGATAAAGTTTAAGAGCCATTACAGGGTTGATAAAACGTACTCATTAGCTTCTCTTTCCTCTCAAAAATAATTTGCCTGAAAGTAAGTGTCCAAGTTTGCTTTACATCTAGGAATGTGCCATCTCCCATCACTAGACCTCTCAGAGCTGAACACTGTCAGCACAAAGCTTGGGTATAAACTCTAAGTACAGGTGTATTTTCGTTGAAGGTTGCTGGACAGCTACAATGCAACAAACTGAACAGGGACCATCAACGAAAACAAGTCACACATAGCTCCTTTTTGTCATCAGCTACACAAGAGACACAGACAGCTTCAATCGGAGTTGTGGGAGCTATTAAAGCAGAACTACTAGGATTTGGCTAGGTCTAATTCCCACTAAACATCTAAATCTTTCCTAAAGATTAATGCTGCTTTTCCCCATCTTTTGGTCTGCCTCAAGCTACTGTACTATAAAGCAGGTTGGTATTATTTCCATATCAGAATAGTCAGATTATACTATGATGGCAAAATCATCTTTTCTAAGTGGGTGAAGCTAGTAAAGCATGTATGTCATTTTAACTCCCCACCACCACCTTCAGAAGCTCTGTTTCATGGAGATTCTCTCTCCTTGACCCCTTTCTAAGTCATTAACATTGCTCCTTCTGATCACCATATGGGAAACCTCATCATCAGAACCAAGCATTACTAGCTCCCAGACATCAAGCCCAAAGTCAGAACCTTTGTGCTGTACGTACCCCAACGAGGACAGAACAGAGCATATCTTAGAGATTTGTAACTATATCTAGCACATGAACGCCTCTTACCTCAACATTCCATACAAAAGAACTGTGGAAGAGGTCTGACCACACTTTGCCAACTTTGTTTGTGTCTTTAACATCCCAGATGTATATACTGTGGTCCTTGTACACACACGAGAGCCAACAATTACATGGGTCAAAGGCTAAAGCAATGGTGTCTGGGTAAACGGAATCTGGTTTTCTTAAGAAAGACAGAGAAAGAGGAAATATTCTCTTTAGTTGCATATAAAGGCAACATAAAATGCAAGCTAAAGTACAGTATATACACAACAATTGTTCTCAACAACTGAAATTCATTAATCTGCCTAGCAAGCATCTTAAAACCACAGATTTTTCTGAGCATGTATCTAGTGTCACAAATGTCCATGTGAGGAGCATTTCCAAACCTGACAGTGCATAACATTATTCTTGGAATTTTGCCTTTTTCCAAACACAAAATTATATGTCCTGGATATAGCCCAACACACTGTTTTGATAATGTACAGCCCCAGAAAGCCAGCTAGCTGCTGGAAAATAGGCATGCCAGCTAGTTATACTGAAAGAAAAGCAAGTTAATGATAAGTTGCCTCATCTGTCAAGTGTTTGAGATCTACAGACTAACAGTCAGATACAAGCGTATTTTTATTCAAACCAGCATAGAAACGGTCACGCCTGATTGGTCTTAAAACTTTACACTGTTATATGCAAAGTATCACGTTTTCAGAAACAAATTTTACATGTTATCATCACTGGGTAATAGACCTCTCTGAAAGATGATTGATTTCAAGTCAATTTTCTTCTTTTCTTAAAATGTAAAACACACTTAAGCTTTCAGGATCAGATTTTCAGAAACACTTGGTTTCTATTACTCAGGGTCATTGGGCACTTCTGAAAACCCAGCGTTTGATATTTATCCACTATCTTTAGAAACGTCACAGAGAACTTAAGATTTACAAAGAGACAGTACTTTTTCTTTCAAGCCACGTCTCACACAACACACAGAGTGATGCATTACATTTCATGTCAGACCTTCGTACCTTGGTTCAAGCTCTTTGGCTACATCCACGCCCAAGGAGTGCGGTTTTGGCAGGTCACTGAGATAGTGCATGTTGTGAGAATAAAAGATCCTCACGGTTCCATTTGCACAGCCACAAAAAATAAACTCTTCACTAACACAGATGCAATTTGCTACTGATACCTGAAGGAAGAATCCATATGCATAAAATTATACTTTTTATAAAAGAAGGTTTTCTAGAAAACAATGACAACATAGAATGGGAGCAGAGGTTTCTGAAACAAACTAGAGTGGTTTTACAATAATGAGATAAGGCATTTTACCTTCAGATCAATCCATTTTTCTAGCATTCGCTTCTCGTTAAATTGACAGAGAAGCCCAGAGTAAGAAACACAGAAGGTGTTTCCCAACATTTTCCCTTGCCCACAGGCTACACCACAAAAGATGTTATTGTGAAGTTCTCCCAGAAGTCCAGAGCGACCGACCAATGGCACAGTCTCTTTAATCTGTAATTCAACACAATAGTTTGAATTATAAATATTAATAAATTTGTCCTTCTGACACCTTTCACTGATGATCTAAAGCAAGCCTCACCATAACTCTACAAGTGAATTCCTCCTTTTTATAAATGGTAAACAGGATTGTCACACATACTGATTTATGTTTTCCAGAATCCGACATGTGGGCAATAGCTCTGTCAAAGAGCCTGGCAAATATGATTTAAACATTACATTTAGCAGTTTGTTGTCCCTTCAGCCTTGTGCTTGGATGTGAATGGGATTTGTAAAGACTGCTTCTACAAAGTTAGATTCAAAACACACCTAGAGCTGCCTGGCTGTAATTCATTCCTAAATCAAGGCAGGAAGTTAAGGTATGACAAACTGCGTGAGCGTAGGGCATGAAAAACCTTACAGCTTTTTGGCCCCATCCTAAAAGAACATTCCAGCCTGCTGCAGTGACTGACATGGGACAAATATCCAGTCAGCTGTCTGCATATCCTGAGCACATTTTTTGAAAAACTCATTTACTTCCACGTCCAGTTGGTACAGCACAGGAGGAAGGTTTACCTTCACTTCTCTTGATGCATCCAAGAACCAGAATTTAACATGGCGGTGGCCAACAGTAACAAAGTAGCTGTCCTCCGAGAAGGATATTGCCATAACCTTACATGACACCTTGTTCGATGCTACTAGAGTGTTCTTCTGCAACAAGACAAAAAAGAACAAACCCAATAATTTATGCATGAGAGATACAGGGCACGAGAATAAGGAAGTTCAAGATGACTGACTTTCCAATTCCATTATAAGGCTAATTTTGACACTACCCCATCCCCACTTCATCCTCATCATCGTAAGTGAGCAATTCATATGAATATTGACAAGAAGTTAGTTTGCCAGGAAAGGCTAATTTTCTGACAATTTGGAGATGGTGTCTTTCTTCTGACTGCAGGGTGCAGGAGCTCTGGAAGTTCCCCAGAAACGAACGGATCACTGATTTCTTCACCATGGCCCTGTCCCACCCGGCCCTTTCCCGAGAGGCCTTACCTCTACTCATTCCTCTCTGCCCCCTTCCCTCCCAAATAGCTCATCCTTAACACAGATAAAAAGTGATAGGCTTATGTTTATCAGATATTTGACTAGTTGACTACTCGCTAACTTCCCTAGTATAAACCCAGGCATAGAATTTCCCCAGGTTAATTCCTTTGAACTAGGACATTCCCCTCCCCCCAAAATCCATTCTTGATTTTAAAGATTTCCAGTGACAGAGAATACACTACAATCCTTGGCAAGTTATTCCAAGGTTAATTACCCTCCCTGTTAAAAAGTGTGTGCCTTATTCATCAGGAAAGGAGAGGCAGAGTATTTTTGCAAAGTCCTCAGCTCTGAAACTTGCCCCTGTTCCAAGAATGCTCAAGTTTGCTACAAGCCTACAAGACTATCAAAGTTCAGCTGTTTTCCCCAAGTGAGAGCTCTTTCTTGGTTTGGGGTAAGAAGGGGTTATTTTGATTGCATTCATTATCATATTGCTGTCTCAGATATATTTCATTGTAAATGCATTAGTAAAGTCTTTGCTTTTCAGGGGAAAATGACAGAGGCTATTCATCCCTGACATCTGCAGTCCCTTACCTTCCAGTCCCACACATTGACAGTCATATCATGCTGGTAGCCCACTGATACAATATACTTCATGTTGGGAGAAAAAGCCACGCAACCCACTCCATGCTTATGGCCGTGCAGTTCAGATACTTGCGTCTTCTCCTCGACATCCCACACTCGTACAGCTGGTCTGTGCCCATTCTGCAAGAGGCATGTGAATATGTGCTGCCATTTGAATCAGACACAAAAAAATAGAAATTGCCATCCTAGGCCAGGCCTACACTACATGAAAAAGTCAAACTAAGATATGCAACTGCAGCTACAAGAATAGCGTAGCAGACGTCAACACACCTTAGCTCAACTTTTTGCAGAGTTCCCATTTCAGGAGATCAATGAGAGAAATTCTCCTGTTGACTTCCCTTACTCCTCATGACTCCATGGAGTACTGAGGTCGAAAGGGGTGCCATCAGCAGTCGATTTAGCAGGTCCTTCCTAGAACTGCTCAAAACCTCGGAAGATTGATCTCCGGAGTGTCGATCTCTGCGGAAGTATAGACAAGGCTCCAGATCAGACCACTGATCCATCTAGTCTAGTATCTTAGTGCAGACAACTCGGAGTTCAGCCACTTTCATCTGTAGTCTCACTGTTCATATTTAGAGTTTCAATTTCAAATTAGTACTACCTAAACAAATGGCCAGAATTCAGCCAACACATTGTGGCTGGAAAGCTAGCATCAGAATAGATGGCACTAACTGGGCATTCTTTCTTGTCTTATTGTGAAAGTTTTCCAGGCATACAAGCATTTGCTATGGTAGAGAAATCAGAAATTATATTCCAAGTATACACACTAAAATCAACTTCAGCAGAACTCACCTCACCAGTAACAATAAATTTTCCATCAGGGGAGAAAGACAGAGCACTCAGTGTTTTCCTGAAAGAAAGATAGAGCTTTCTTTTTCAAAGAAAATTCAGATAACATAGCATTTGTTGCAGTGAGTGCTAAGGAAAAAATGATTTGAAGTTACCCAGAACAGTGTTATCCAAATGCTCAGTCTACTAACATGGCTACCCCTCTGAGACTCAGTCTACTATAGACTATCTACGTAGACTGTTAATTCCATAGACCATAGAGACTATCTACATAGACTGCTCTTTGGGACACAGACTGGTCTTTGTTGCATTTCTAAAGTACCTGGCACAATGGTGTCGTGATCCATAACTAGGGCAGCTAAACCCAACTATAATATTATCTTCCCAATCTCCCTTAGCCAGGCAGACAGCACAGTATCAGCAGTTACACTTTGCTCAGTTCAGCATAGCTTCCCTTTCCCAGCAATCCAAACCCCAGAAAGCAAATTAAGAACAAAGATACCTGAACACCATCAGAGTGGTGGATAAATTAAGCATTTACAATACCTGGAAGTATTAAAGATGTGTCTTTGTTTATTCTTTTGGGGATTTAAAATTACAACCACACACCTGAAAAGAAAGAGCAAGACATTTACATTAATAAATGTTTGACCTCAAACCTCACATATTTTATAAACAGCAAGACAGCCCATTATACCACTGGGATCAGAGATCAGGACTCTTGTTTGGTCACTTTCTGGATCCTTCTTAGTTTCTTAACTCTCAGCATCAAAACGTAAGGATGTTAAAAGGTGGGTAATTGACTAATCATGTAGTCGATACAATTTGCACATGATCAGTTGATAAGGGAAGGGGCTCTGTACCGGCTTGTGCTGGTCCAGGAGCTACCCCTGCTGCAGCTCTGCAGTTTAAATGTGGTAGAAGCTGGGCACAGAGGAAGCCCGGCTCCTATTACATTTAAACTGCAGAACCACAGCACGAGTAGGTCCCTGGCTGGTGCAAACCAGGACCACTGCAGCTCTGCATTTTAAACGTAGTAAGAGCTGGGCGGTTCTTACTACATTTAAAATGCAGAGTGCAGCAGTCCCAGACCAGCATGAGCTGGGTTTGCTCAGTCCTGGCTCACACTGGATCCAACAGCCCCTGCCCGCAGCCAGCCAGGACTGGCAGCAACAAGGG